TGAAAATTTCACTAACAAGTATTTTTATTTGTATAGGCCACGTAAATTGATAAAACATGGAGCTGCAATGATGAACTATTTGCTATTATAGACCTAAACACTTGTTATTTTTGTCTAGCTCACAAGTTAAAGTATTTACTAATGATTTATTATGAATATGTAATGCACATCTTTGAAAATATGAAGCCAGAAAACTATTAATTGCTGACCTTTTCAGTTTTGTCTCGTAAAATTCCTCAAGGATTTGTAGAATAACATGTCTTCACTCTAGTGAAGAATCTAATGACCCTCTATCTAGCTATCATGTGACCGGATATTTGGAGTTTTTATCAAATAAAGTAGTAACGCACAAACTTTCTGAAATTATATGATGTTTGTATAATTTATAGCTCAAGCACAGGTTTATGACTAGTACATAAATATATATGAATTGTGGGACACGTGTAACTCATCACCTACCACCTGCCCCCTCGTGTAAAGGGTCTACCAAAATAGTCAACATCCTCTTTTTCCAGAGAGAATCCTCTTGAGCTGGGGGCTAATTGTGCCCTAACCACTCGGCGCACAGGACGTCACCTTATCATATTACACGACTGGAATAGAGACAGAATTGTGTTTGAGAGCATGAATTTCTCGCGGCTAAGGTCACTAACAGTGTTTGGGAAGTGGGAATCTTTCTTCATCCCTGAAAATATGATTCTTCTTCGGGTGCTTGATCTAGAGGATGCATCTGGTTTAGATTATGATGATCTTGGAAACATAGTAAAATGGCTGCGGCGCCTCAAGTTCCTCTCATTACGAGGACGGTGTGAGGTCCACCATCTGCCAGGCAATATGGATCATCTGAGGCAACTGCAGACTTTGGATGTCAGAGGCACCTCCATAGTCACCCTGCCAGAGAACATCACCCGCCTCAATTTTATCCTCATGATAGATGCAAGCGTGTTGGCCGCCTACAAAAAGGTCAAGATCCTCGAGATTGGTTGCAACTCCAGCTCATTATCAGTGGAATTTGGATCAGAGACAATGAAAAATCTTGAGCTGCTCAAGCTTGACTGTTCCAGTGGGACAACATATGCTCTTGATGGCCTGGATTTTCTATCTGAACTCAAAGAAGTCTCGTTTATTGGTAGCAAGGATGGTACATTCATGACTGAACAGACGAACAAACTTGGCAAACACCCAAAGAAACCTGTCTTGAAGATGGAGGAATTACCACTTTTGTGCCGAAAGGCTATTTTTTCTGATTGTTCCTTGGATTCAATTCCACCCGCCACTAGCCCATTAATGTGTTTGCAAAACCTGGTTGGTTTTTGTAACATTATGTACACGTATTTGGTCTTTTATCGGTTCCATACATGTCTTCTGTCAAAAATGTACTACATTCTACAACACACGTTTGTGATTTATTTTCTTTTCAACTTGTAAATACTTTTATTTTATTGCCCTATGTTAATGAACGAATCAATAAGAGCTCCTATTTCAGAGGAAAAAAACATGTTTATGACTTAGCCTACAAACAATTCATGTATGTTTAGTCTTGTGTATTGTTAATCTGTCTTTGCTGTCTCGCCAAAAAATGAAAAAATATATATCTATCTTTGCTCTGCTATACGAGAATTTTGACAACCCATAGCTTGTAGAAATTTTTCTTTGCTCTGGTAAATGAGAACTCACATCGAAGTTTCTTAAATCATCAGAAATGCCTACTAGCTAGTGCCAGCAGAGGTAGAGCTGAAGAGAGCAGGCCGAGCGTTGAGCACACTGCGAAAGGATCTGCCGTTAGACTTTCTGAATAAATGTCACAGATCATTTCTCAGAGAATCGTAAAATTCGTAAAGGCGCTTTAAGAACCATTCATGAGGTGTGATTGTGCTTTAACAGTTTCTGTCTTTCTGAAAGTTGCTCAAAAATGTCACCCAAAGAGTCCGAGGTTGAACTGGTAACTGTGCCAGATGGGGAAACCATTGCTGCGAAGAAACTTGTCGAAAATTCGCCCTTTCCACAAGACAAAACATTCAATAATGAGGTCCAAAGTATTATGGCCCTCCAACATGAAAATGCTGTAAGATTGGTTGGCTACTGTCATGGAAGTCTAAAGAAAGTGGTGCAGAACAATTGAAGATATACTATTGCTGACGTTGTTCAAAGTGCAATATGCTATGAATATTTACCACGGGGAAGCCTTATGAATAATATTTTTGGTATATCATACTACCCGTTTCAAATTGCATCCATGTTCAAGATTCTAATACTCCTATATGATAACACTGTGAACTGGAGGTTGGCCATAAATCTACGTTACACTATATTCAGGTACAACACTGGACATGATCAAAAGAAGTTACAATTGTACCTAGCAAGAGACGGATGAGTGCTCGCATTCAGGAGCTCCCGGAGGTGGATGACATGCAGCAGAGGTGCGCTATGAGGGCGGCCAAGCTTCATGATGCTGCGATCTCTACTGGTATGTCCGTCAACATATCTAATTCTTTATTGCATTTTTTCTAATGAGGACATTATAAATAATGCAAACCAATTAGGAGTTTCACTATGGGCTACGGATAGTGAGATTTCCAAGTCGGTGAATGATCTTTTAGATTTGGAGGCGGAGCGTGCCTTAGAGACAATTCGTAATCTCGCAGTGGTAAAACCAATGAATGATGATGAGATTGATGCGCTAGGGGTCAGGGTGCTGGATAATCTGTGTGTGGATCTAGCACCATCCAACCATGAGTCTGGGGATGATGATGTGCCCATAGATGATGCAGTTGTTAGTACCGTTGAACCTGGTTATGAGGACCGGGAAACTGAACCTAGTAAAACAAAGCGCAACTAAAAACGGAAGATTTATCCCGATTCTGCAGTACGTAGGAGTGCTAGGATTCGAACCACCAAAAAATTCTATGATGATCGATGAAAGGAATCTTCTGGAATAGCAGAGGTCTGAAGGACTTGGCTAAAAGAAGGTTTCTGGCTGAGGCATCTTTGGAGCAACGTTTAGATTTTGTTGCTCTTTCGGAAACTGGACGAGCTAACTTTGCGCCCCAGTTTCTTTCCTCTCTTGTGGGTGGTGTTGATTTTGATTGGCATTGTCTCCCCCCGCGAGGAAGATCGGGTGGTATCTTGCTGGGTGTGAGATGCGATTCGCTTGAAGTCCGAAGTATAGTGATGGGCGACTTCGGGGTTAAGTTTCGAGTCAGGTCTAAAGTAGATGGTTTCAACTGGGCTTTGGTGGCAGTTTATGGTGCCGCACAGCCCGAGCTTAAACCGGAGTTTCTGGCGAACCTTGTTCGAATCTGTGGTCAGAGCAGCTCCCAATTTTAGTACGTCCACACAAAAACTTTGTCCCAGGTTACAGTCAGGCCGACCGGCTCGCCTTTTTGGAGAGGACTGATGAAAGTCAAACAGTCCTTTCTTAATAGGACAAAGTTCATTATTGGCAACGGTGCTAGTACGCGTTTTTGGGAGGATACTTGGCTCGGAGAGACACCCTTGGCCATTCAATATCCGTCTTTATATCGTATTGTTCAACGACGTGAGGTGTTCGTTGCAACGGTATTTTAATCTATCCCCCTTAATATTCAGTTCAGACGGTCGCTAGCGGGCAATCGTTGGGAAGCTTGGCTCCGTCTAGTTAGGAGACTGATGGAGGTTCAGCTTTCTCAACAACCCGATGAATTATGCTAGAAGCTGGCTAGGTCTGGAGTTTTCACAGTTAAATCAATGTATATTGATGTTATTAATTCGTTCTCCATTCCTACCTCTAAGCATGTTTGGGAGGTTAAAGTGCCTTTGAAAATAAAAGTGTTTATGTGGTTTGTCCATAAGCAAGTTATTTTAACCAAGCACAACTTGATAAAGTGTAATTGTACATGACCTACTAGGTGTAGTTTCTGTGATCGGGATGAGACGATTCAACACCTCTTTTTTGATTGCCCGTTAGCCAAAGTTCTATGGCGGACGGTCCATGTTTCTTTTAAGATTATTCCACCGAACTCTGTCAATGCGTTATTTGGGATATGGCTTAATGGGATTGAGCCAGACTTAGCGAGACATATTCGTGTTGGAGTTTGCGCCTTGCTGTGGACTATCTGGAATTGAAGAAATGATTTGGTGTTTAACAGAATGTCACGTATTCACTTTTTCCAGGTTATTTTCCGAGCCACCACACTGATCCGCTCGTGGTCGCTACTCACTCTGACGGAGGCCAGGGAGCATTTGGTTACTGGATCTGTCCACTGGGAGATGGTAGCTCGGGATATCTTCAACCGGTTTGGATGGCGGTCATGTAATAGGATAGGCAATTAGTTTACCTATCTTTCTTTAGCCAGCCGGTTGTGACTTTTCTTTCTTGGCTAGTTGGTGTTTCTAGCCTTTTTAGCTCTGTGTGAGCTTTCTTTTTTTTTGTTCTGTCAGTTGGAGACTTTGGAACCTTGTTCGAACTTTTATTTGGTTAATAAAATGGTCGTATGCATCACTCTGATGCAGAGGCCGGGGAACTCCCCCTTTTCGAAAAAAAGCAATTTGTTTTTGTGATCATATTTTTGCTATTAGCATGCTTACAAATAAATGATATTCAAGTCATTATCTTGTAGTACTTCAGTAGTTCAGTATCTCTTCTTCAGAAGTAGATATCCCATTGGACTGGGACACACGATTCAACATAATTAAGGGGATCTGCGATGGTTTACTCTTTTTACGCAGCATTCCTGTTGTGCATATGGATCTTAAGCCCGAAAACACACTGCTGGATGTTAATATGTTACCAAAAATAGCGGATTTTTGTCTCTTGAGACTCTTTGGTCAAGAACACAGACACAGATGAACAAATAAAATGTGGTGGGGTCATAGTAAGTCGGTTACAAACTGTGATAATTTTGTGTTCCTTTCTTATGATTTAAACTGCAAATTCTAACCTCTCTGGTAATACTTAATACTATTAAAGATATGCTTACTCAAACCCACAAATAACTTCTTTTTGGAAACTCTCCACCAGTCTAGAGGGACTGGATAGCAGGCACGCCGTTGCCATTCGGCGAAGGTTGAGCCTCGTCATCACTAGCAGAAACAGTGTTTCTTTTGGCAGTGAATTTTGCATAAGCGCGCCTCGACAAGTTTATGAGAATCATCAAACCTAAAACGCATCCATTGATGATGAATAGACCTTCAAAGTTCCGTGAGCTGAGGCGCAAGGAGTCTGTGTCCAGACTGCCATAATCCAGTGACAGAATCGGATCACTGAACCACTTCTTCTCAATATGAGAACCTTCAGGCCCCTCTATCAAATTCAGCATGGCCTTGGAAAGATCCTCCACCAACGGAGAGCCTTTAGGGAAAACCTGCACAAGGGTATGACATCTTAGGTGAAGCCAAGTCAGCACGCTCCAAGACTTGGGCTTAGGTTCAAGGAACTTACAAAACCAAAACCGACTGTCCTGTCAATGGGACCGACCTTCTGGAACCCTTTGCCGTACTTCAAGAGGAAAGAATTTATGTATGGTGTCTCGTCAAAGATGGCAGATACTCCTCCATTCTTTGATCCCAGCTTCAATGCCTTTGCATATTCCTCCTGCGTGCTACAAACCTTTATCCAGCGCTCCTCAAATCGAAGCCTCCTCAGCATTGAGTGCACAAATGAGCCATTCTGGTATCCAACATAGTGACCATTGTGCAAAAGTTGCCTTGGGTCAGTCACTGAAGGCTGGAGCCTCTTTGCAGTTAACATTGATGACAAGCTTGCTGTGTAGCTCTGCACTATAACTAGCATTACAAAGCACCAGGACACCACAATAACTTTTGACTGAAGGCTTTTGAACTTTTGATCTGTCATGGAATTACATATCAATAGAGCGAAATAAATAACATTGTCAGTAAGTCGCAATGCTTAGTATAAAGATGTGCAGAGTTTGCGGTTTTGTATAAAACAAGGCTGATCGTAATGGCATACCATGCGTGAAAGTCCAGGTGGAGAATGCAAAGTAGAAAGAAGTGCTGAACTGTTTCCATTTGGAACCTTTGAATTCCTCATTTATAGGATTTTCAATCATCCATACAAATAGCCCAGTGACGACCATAAAGGCTACTGTAGCCATCCAAAGGTCCTTCGTTAACGGCTCTAAGAAGACCCACATGGTTGGTTCATCTTCATCTTTCCTAGCTAGGACAAGCATCGACACACCAGACTCTGTGTATGGCATTGTGAAGTCCACATACCTAGTTCGATTGGCAATGATTGTCACGTCACCCACTGCTGCATCAAACGTCTGCCACCAAAACATGAAAACAGAGAGGAAATTATTAAGTGTGAAATGAAGAACGCTTCACATTCAAAGGCAAGGAAACAAGTTGGTTGAGGCTAACCTTGAAGTAAACCTCCGATACCAGCTTGTCATAAGAATTAGCGCAGTCATAGGGAATGTACTTATAGCGCAACGCATATGGTAGTTTCTTCACAGCAGCCTCAAAGACATCAATGCTGTAGCCGTTGACAACAAGTTCACTGGAGTTAGGACTAGCCTCGACATTCACAAAAAACTTAAAATCACGTCTCACGGGCACAGCAATCTGGAGTATCTTGCCATTTACTGGGAAGTCCCAGCCTCTGGGCACTGTTGTTGAATCTCCTGGCCAAATGACAGTTCTCAGGACTTGATCAGCGCGTAACCTAGGTCTATCTTGGACTGGGCGAGTGCTAGAGTTGAGAAAAGGTGATAGTCCAGAAACAGGGCTCCAAAACCCAATGCGTCTAGTTTTCTCTTCAATCACATTCACAATCTCATATGCTGGAACCGGCAACTTCCTATCAACAAACCTGAATCTCCCAGCCAATCCATCAAACTCCCCATCCATTATGGAATTGAGAAGTTCTTGTCCAGCAAGAGATACTTCCGGGTCATCTACTAAGTTGCGTGGAGTAGACCTTAGATTTATGGCTTTCTCAGTTGCGGACGCAATTGCCCATACCACATCATATGCCCAGTATTGGAAGATGGTGGGTGTTGCCACCCTAACATCAGTATCTTGATGGAATTTGGCTCTGTATCGAGTGACGAAACGAGCCGTGAAACCGCTGACCCTCGCAGATTTTGCTACATATGGCCGGAAACCCACAACACCCAGCATGGTGTCAATGGTATCCTGGGGAAGCACATCAAGGACAATGCCAATGTTATCTGTGACAATCCAGACATACCCCTCCGTCATCATATTGGTTGCTGAAGCCCGAGCGAAGAGGCGGGAAGCATCGGCTGGCAACATATGGACGATGAAGACACGTGTCTGCATGGTCATGAGCTTGTACAGTTCTTCATCAATGCGGTAATCGGGGGAAGAAGTAGGGATGGCGGAACGGTTAATGACACGGACATCGACGGCTTCAAGGGCGTCAGTAATGGACGGAAGAATGCCGACGCCATAAGTGTTGTCCTCGTAGACAAGAACGACATTTCTCCAGCCATAGGCCTGGATGAAGGCGGCAATTGGAGCTGCCTGGAAGGAGCCCTTGACACAAGCCCGGAGGAAGTAGGGAACATGATGTTGATTGACTGAATCACCTGTTGCAGAGGAAGTGATGACAGGAATCTTGGTTTTGTTGGCTAGGTAGGTCAAGAACTCTGCCTGTAAAGTGTTCTGCGGACCGATGATCACCCCGACCTTCTCGTTGTCGATGAGATCTGTTGCTGCAGGACCAAAGGATGATCAAATCAGTTGAGCAAAACAATCATCACATCTGGTACATGGGGTGAGAAGACCACTTGAAAAAAATACGCGAAATTAGGAGTCAACAATAATTAACATCCGGTCTCGCCAGTGGCGCTTGCACACCGCGTGGACGAGGAGAAGGGAACGGGCGGGCCAAATGCGGCTGCCCGAGCCCAGCGTGCGGCCGCGCAAAGAGGAACGAGCAGGGGAAGCCAGCCAAAACCGGGGCGTATCACAACGCTCGGAACGTGTTTGGCGGAATGTGGAAGCACGACGAAGAGCAGGCGGAGCGGGGGCAGGAGGAGCGCTTTCCTGAGGTCGTCGTGTAGGCGCTCCGCCGCCTTTCCTGAGGTGGTCATGGCCGGCCGCTTCGCCTCTAATCGCTTGTAGTTTGGTGGGTGAAAGGGTGGCCTCCCACGGCGGGGATCAGCATCGCCGGCCGGCATAGTGGCGCCGCACGCACGCAGGGGCAAGACGCCGAGCACGGCGAGCGAGCGAGCGGCGTTGAGGTCTACGTGCGAGGACGACCATAAAAATGTATAATTGCCATGATAGAGAACGGACGGAAAACTTCTCAACTGGGGGGCTGAACCCCATTGGCCAAGAGGCCCATTTTACCGTTTTTTTCTTCGAAAAATGCCATGACAGAGAGAAAATACATATTTTCTTATAAAACACAGAGAAAAACATAAAAATGTATATTTTCCATGATATGGATATTATGAAACAAAAATGTCATGCTACTTTACAAAAATGCGTGCTATTTTATAAATTTACAAAAAATACATGATTAAAGAAAACTGTGTTGTGTGGTCTAAAATAAATAAATTTATGAATTCTTCCATGGAGATTCTTCACTGTTAAAAAAACCATATTTGGGAGAACATTTTTCTTTATTTTTTCCAAGTACCAAAAACAAAATGCCATGCTGTATTTTTTTTCCCTTTGTGTGGTCTGTGCGCAATTTTTTTTAAAAAAATGTCATGTCAGTGCAAAAAATATAAATTCCCATGCCAATAAAAATAAAATAGCCATCCTCTTAAATTATAAAACTAACATCATATTGATAATAAAAAAAAGTTCCATGCCAATAATAATAAAAATGTCAGCATCCCAATAATAAAATCGCCATCTTGTTATTCATAAAACTACCATTCTCGTAATAAGGCGGGGAAGGTGTTCGCCATAGTTGGCCTCCTATCTAATGTTCGCCATGTAACATTTCCGTTCTTTTTTTTGCATCGATGGGGTGAGGTGAGGTTTCTTCTTTTCATTTTTTGGATGGATGTGGCGGGGGGTGGAGTCGAGCATATCACTTGAAATTGCAGAAGAAACGATTTTGTGGTGGCCTCTCTCGGCAACTATGTAGCGGGCAATTTTCTAGTTGGGGATAGAGGATTTTGGGAGGTTGTTATGGAATTTGCCATGTTTACGGGGATTTCTAGATGATTTCGTGGCGGTTATCGTAGGGCCACGCCGAGGTTCTTGAGCAGCAATAGTGGTGCGGTCGTGGTGATTTAGCGGGCGGTTTAATCTCATGGTTAAGTAGGGAGGTGCAAATATTACCTGCCCTTAAATAAAAACATGTACTCCATTCTAACACAATGTAAGGCAGAGTGGAGTATATAATTGTCGGGATGCCCTAAAACATTAGGAGAAAAAAACAAAATGGAACTAAAACAGCAAAATCAACAAGATCTTTTATATAAAAATAAGGAGAAGAAGCAATTTTAAGATCCATCTAAGAATGTACAGCTACTGGATTTTTTTCTTTTGAGAATAGCCAATGATTTTTTTATTGTGTACAATTGTATACAGACGTCCTGCTCCTGAATTTTCAAGAAATACCTTTTCTCTCATTTTTTGGAAATTCATTTTCCAGAAATATCTTTTTTAGGGCAGAAATGTCTGTTTTACATGGTATTAACTCATGCATGGATGCGACACTAGAGTTAGAGCGGAAGCGGAAGCGGAGGGTGGACGTACCTGCAGACGCGGCGGCGACGACGTCGCGGTTGGAGTCCCGGACGTGGAGCCTCACCCTGGTGGTGTAGCCTGGGTGCGCGGCGTAGAAGTCGTGCAGCGCCATCCTCATGCTGAGGAGGCTCTTCTTCCCCAGCACCGTCGCCAGGTCCAGGATCACCCCAACATTGACCGGAACGGTCTTGAGCGGCGGTGGCGGCGGTGCCATCGTCGCTGCCGTGGCGCGACCCGCCACGAGTAAGAGGAAGAGGACGCCGGCGAGCCGGTGAGAGCTACGGGAAGAAGCCATTATTATGCATGCAAGCAGGCGGATAAGGTTGGTAGTAAAGTATGGTGTGGAGTTGGCGTTATCACCTATCTTATTCCCTTCTTGTTTCTCGTTCCGCTATACTATACGAGGATGCCGCAGCAGTATTATCCAAAGCTAATCATCTGCACCGGCGCGCATGATTATTAGTGTATTAGAGAAAGATGTAAAGCCTGATGCCTCGGCGCTGCACTATCCATATCAAATCGACGGCCCATCATCGATCGGAACGCACGCACGCACGCATGCGCATTCCGTTCAACGCGAGGTCGTCTGACATGTTGAATACTCCTAGGTTTTCGTTTCGTGCCTCCTTCGTTTATATACTGTATATACGCAGCAGCTCCCAGGCTGCTCCGACGAACGTGCACTGTAGCAGCTTGGCTGTGTCTACAGCTGCACTGCATGCGCCTCACGTGATGCACGTGGGCGCTCGATTGCCGGGGCAAGCCCCCAGCGCTAGCGCTGGAAAGCACGTGGTGTAGTCTCCTCGTAGATTCTTCGTCGCCCTAAGTAAATACTTAACTAAAAATATAAAAAATTACATTTTTAGAATTTGCAATAATGCGATGGGCGAACCATGGCAATCCTCTTCTGCTGAGCCTCCTTTCTCCTCGGTCCGCGTCAACCAGCAACACAGCTTCTTACAGCTAGGAGGGTTTCTATTTAATGATGAAATTAAAATGGATAAATAGAAAAGGTTTTTGGATTTTTAAAAAAATCTAGATGCTTTGCACAAGTAGCTGTATCAAATCCAAATAATCTTTACATGATTTCCAATAAAATAAAGTTCCTCAATTCAAGGTATAAATAAAGCCGACTGCATTTTCCAACTAAAATGGAAAATGACTAACGAAATTGCGTGAAAGAGGTTCCAGAATCCGTTTTTTCTATAAAGGCTAAAATCACTTTTTTTGGCTTTTTCACCCCATATTGCAGGGTGGATCTCGAAAGATTGGAAAGATCTTCCTCCAAGTACATACGACTTTCATCAAATACGACTTCCCACTAAATTCTATAGGCATCTATAAGATTGAGTATGGGATTCGGATTCGTTATTCATTCAATGGAACCTCTTATTGGATATTCGACAGTTGGCAGGTGTCTTTGCATGTCTTGTCCGAAAAGAGGAGGACTTAATGATTATTCGTTCACCGGAAGCAGAAGTAAAAAGTTGTTGTGGATAGGGATCCTGTAAAAACATCTTTTGATGAATGGACCAGACCAGGCCATTTCTTAAGAACACAGTAGTAGAAAACATGGCTTTCGTTCGGGCCAGATAACCCCATTAGTCCCGGTTCAGTCACGAACCGGAACTAATGTGAGCATTGGTCCCGGTTCATGCGGCTAAAGGTATTAGTCCCAGTTCAAATGAGCCCTTTAGTCCCGGTTTGAGACACGAACCGAGACTAAAGGGTGCAACAGTCTCTTTAGTCCCGGTTAGAGACACGAACCGAGACTAAAGGGTGCAACAGTCTCTTTAGTCCCGGTTAGAGACACGAACCGGGACTAAAGGGTGTTCACCCTTTAGTCCCGGTTCGTGTGTCAAACCAGGACTAAAGGTCCCATTTTCAAATTCTACCCCCCCCCCTCCCCTTGTGGATCGCCTTTTCAGTTTTGTAAAAAGCAAAAGAAAATGATAAAAACTTCAAAAACTAAAATTCTTCAAGATGTAGTTATATTACTACATCTACTAGTTAGGAAAATGAATAAACTTAAATTTGGACATGTTTTGCAAAAAAGTGTCATGAAAAAGTAAAACGGCTATAACTTTTGCATACGATGTCGAAAAAAACGTATAATATATCAAAATGTTCAGCACGAGAATCCGCGTCCGATTTTTGACAGCCTACGACCTGTTTGCAAATTTTTAGAATCCTCAAATTCTAAAAGGAAAAAAGTTATGCTCAAATTTCAATTTTTTTTGTTTGAATTTTGGTTAAATCAGGTCAAACTACTTATTCAGGAAGTATTAGCATTACTAAATAATTATTCAAGAATACTATTGTTACTACATAATTATTACAGTTTTTTTGAATTTTGGTCAAATCTGGTCAAACTACTTGTTCAAGAAATATTAGTGTTACTACATAATTATTCAAGAATATCAGTGTTACAAAATAATTATTTCAATTTTTTGAATTTTGGTCAAATCTGATCAAACTATGGTCAAACTACTTATTTAAGAAATATTAGTGTTACTAAATAATTATTGCTTTTTAGAATAATAGTTTCAAACTCAAACAGTGAAACGTGTGACTTCATGCTCAAGCTAAACTTCTGAGGGTTAATAGGATTG